GAGAAAAGTACTCTGTGACGGTGTCCGAGGACATTTTTCTCTTGATTCCACCGACAAAAATTGTTGGTCCGGTAGCAGTGCCAGTGTCTTTCTTCTTTTCCGCCTCTTTTGTAGATTCCAGTAAAGGACTTTTCACGGGCAGCAAAAAAAGATAGAGGTGGTCAACAGATTGCTATGTTAAAATCGAAATCACAATGATATATTCCAAAGGATGATTGATGTAAGTACTCCCTTTCGGTTCTCACTTGCGTCTCCGCAAATGAACTTTCACTAGGTGTGCAATTTTGCCTGTACAGTTACTGTTGATCCTGGTGACTATAACAAATATTACTGTGGATGTCAACTTAGACTAATTAGTTGATGTTTAATGGAAAGTTAATGAGACAAGATGATCCACGAAGATAGATTTTCTTACATATTACTTAGCCGAGCTCTGACACTAAGGAAGCTCATCTTTAAAGATAGCACATGTCGAAGTTAGGAACCATATTGCCAGAACCGAAAAGCTAAGGTGCCTTAACTACTGGCTAACATCATGGAATACAAAATGATCCCATAGGAAACTGACCTCACTGAGCAATTTTCTGAATTGCCCTTATACTTGGAAACGAACCATACTGAATCATGGGATGCAGAACCCTCCCTAACATTGATTGGGACTCCGCAAACAATGTGCTCCGTTTTGAGGATGTGGCTGGGATCTACTGTCGGCTGCAGCCTGACGTAGCTATTTTCCCCATGCTTGTTTGTCGTGGGATCTATAGAAAAATCCACTTCCACCAAATCGCCAAAGCGGGAAAAGTGGGTCTTCAGGTCCTCTACAGTGACGGCCGCCTTCTCACCATCCACGAATAAATCAAGTAACTTCTGGGCTTTATAAAAAATCTTCTGAATTCGTAAATCGTCCTTCTGCTGCTGCAGCTTCTGTTGCTGCTGCTTCTGTTGTTCCTGTTGATTCTGATGCTGCTTCTGCTGTTCCTGTTTTTGTTGTTGCTTTGGCAGTTGGACGGGTTTGGGCGGATTGGACGGCTCTTCCTTCGCAGTTTCTATGGTATGTTCCGGAAGTAGTGACTGCAGGTCAAAGTACTGGCAGATCCTGTGGATAAAAAAAATCAAAAATAAGTCTTTCTTTTGCAGACGATGCATTATCGAGTTAATATTCAGGCAGTATTTAATTCCTGCAACGTTACATGGTCATTCAATTAGAAGGGGTTAAGATCGCTGAGGCATTACAGTCTCCTGCATCGAATTTTGTACTCAGAAAATCTTCAGGTTATGTGCTCGAGTTG